AGAAAAGTGGTCCCATCACCGTAACTGCAGGCCTGGGCAAGGCGTGGAAGCCACGACCATGCGGTGGTGCCTGCTGGACTACTTAGCTGTGATCTCTCCCTCGTCTCTGCTCTTTAGGCTTGGCTAACTAGTCTTCTAGTCAAAGGCTAACGGCTTTTATTCTGCTTTCCTTAGGGATATCTCTCTATGAGGGTGTTCCTTGGATGTGTTCTCAAGGGAGACTGTCCATACAATAAATCTCTTAGAAGTATCTGTGGGTGGGGGGTAACCCAAGGCTAGAAACTGGAAAGGGCCATCTTTTATGTAGGTGCTTTCTGCAGCATTACATTTTGGGCCATCAAAAACATAGTTCTCTGGTGGCTTAACGTGTTCTTTGCACATCTGGCCTCTGGGTTCTTCCAACTACGTCAAGCAGAGTTTTTGCCAAAGTGAAAGTGACATGTTGCATGCTATGACACTTTCCAAACAAATCAGGGCATTCACTCTATCTCACTATACAGTTGTGTCAGATTTCCCTGTCTAGGGTGCCCTGTGTGGTTTTTATCAAGGGTTTCCCTGGTAAAAGTCATGTAAAAGCAATGAAAAAGATTGCCGTAAATCAGGTCTCTGATTTCTTAAGGACTGTTGTCGTATTTTATTTCATTGCAGGGTATTCTATGAACACGTTATCTGTTTCGCCAGGCTATCCCCTAAAGATTGAAATAGAACTCCACTAGGGGCTTCTGGTCAGAGTCATCTTTATGATGAATTATCCTGGCCTCATTATCTGCCAAGCATCTTCTTCTTTTCCAAGCATATTTCTTATAAAACAAATAAATACTGTTTACTTGGCTCACTGTTCTAAAACCTGGTTTGATCACTAAATATTCTAGATGTTTATTATTTTTACTAGACGATTTATATTCTATGAGACAGGAGGAGATGTTAGATCATCACTAACAGCTTGTTCTCCATTTCCTCTATAACAAGATAAGCACGTTGGGGGCACCTGGGTGGCTCAGTCAGTTGAGCATCCAACTTTTGATTTCAGCTCAAGTCATGATCTTAGGGTCGTGGGATCAAGCCCCACGTCAGGCTCCACGCTCAGCAGGGCGTCTGCTTGAGATTCTCTACATCTGCCCCTCTCCCCACTCAAGCACACACTCTCCTTGTCTCTCTCAAATAAATCTTAAAAAAAAAATAAGATAAGCACATTAACTTTTTTTGTTGTTGTTCTAATTAAGAATATCAAAGGGGTACCTGGCTGGCACCATCAGTAGAGATGCAACTCTTGATCTTTGAGCCCCATGCTGGTTATGGAGATTACTTAAAAATAAAATCTTTTTTTAAAAAGATTTTTATTTATTTATTCATGAGAGACACAGACAGAGAGAAGGCAGAGACCCAGGCAGAGGGAGAAGCAGGCTCCCTGCGGGGAGCCCAATGTGGGACTCAATTCCGGAACTCTGGGATCACGTCCTGAGCTGAAGGCAGACGCTCAACTGCTGAGCCAGCCAGGCATCCCTAAAAATAAAATCTTTAAAAAAAAAATATCCAAGATATTCTTGGAGTTTTATAGTCAGCAAAACAATCCTCAGAATAGTCACACAAGAACCATTGTAACCTCCCACAAGGTATCCTGTAACCATTAATAATTTGCTTGGTGTTTCGTTACAAAGCTTTTATTTCTTCATCAGAGGCCTCAGTCCCAAAGAGAAAAAGAGATATAAACAAATAAACGACTATACAGCATGCTCCATTGCAGAAGTGTGAACAAGGATGTGGGAAATCCAAAAGATGGTAGTCCTCCCGTACCTGGAGCACTCAGGAGAAATAGAGCCGTGTCTGTCCACTTGTCCACTGTTTTCGGGGTCTGGTCTTAAGGGGAGGGCGGATCTTGACAACGGGGAAAGTGAAAATGCAAGAGAAAAGGGAGGGAAACCGAGGGGAAAGAAATTCATTTCTTCCCCTGCCTCAAGAATTGGGGGAGAAAGAGGTGAAGGGAAGTTTTGAGGTTGAGGGAATCCTTCCTGGCATCGGTGTTCTCGGTGAAGCAGGTGTACGTGTGCTGAAGTGACGAGGGCCGAACGTGGGATCTCGGAGAGAAGGAAAGGTCTGGAGTAGCCGGTGGGCCTCTGGCGCCCACTGGGCAGTGAGCACCCGTGCGACAGAAAGGGGCTGCAAGAGCCTGACCTCGTGCTGACGTGTGTTGTCGAGACTGAGAACCGAGGGGAGCGTCGGCTGTGGCCTGAAGGGTGAGCAGCAAGGCGGGAAGCAGGCAGGCCGGCCAGCGCCCCAGAGCCCCTGATGAGCACCCGGCGGGGCGCGGGGTGGGGGCGGAAGGAGCTGAGCGGAGTGACTGGAGGGACCGATGGGGCCAGGTTCCGGGGCACGGCCACATCCTCGGTCCCTCCCTTACCTGGATGGCTGCCCGGGAGGGGGCCCCGGGCCTATGCGGTGTCCCCAGCTTGCCTTTACCTCCCACCGTCTCCGAGTATAGCAACACATGCCCCTTTTCCTTCAGCCCACAAGTAAGACCAAGTAGAATAAGGAGATTACAGAGCTTTCATTTTGTTCTACTCTGTGGTCTTTTATCCTTCTTCTGATTTAGCTTCTCATTTATATATTTTCACTTTCACATGTCACTAAGTTTAAATGTTTAAACATTTCCCCCTCCGGTAGCTCAAAAGAAAACAAAGCAACAGCTAATATAGTGATAAATTTATTTCTGGCTACAGGAGATAAGCTTCAGTGCAATGTGGCCATAAAGTATGGCTCCTAGGCTTAGGGGAGAAGCAATAAACTTTCATAAATAAAATAATCTAAAATACTCCCGGCAGTCTAAATAACTTGTAGCTGGCAACACACAGCCAACCACGGAGCCACTTACAAAAGAGGGCTCTGGACTAAAATAAGGAAATGTTTGCAGCTTTGTGGCCGTCACCTGGCCGTCTAGGCGGGCAGACGGGAGGAGTCACGGGGGGAGGCGTGTGACTCCCGCGTCTGAAGTGCCACCTCTGTTACGAGTCCTGACACCTTCTGATTTGCTGCGGACCTGTGAGGGCCACCGAGGGAACCCGGGGGTGCTGATGCTGCAAGTGAGAGAGTCGGCGGCCGTTGCAAGGTCGGAGGACAGACCCCTCACAGAGGGGAGAATGGGGTTACCAGCTGGGGGGCCCTGGGCCGTGCGCCCTGCCGCTGACCTCGCAGGGTGGGGAGCTCTCCTGAGGGCCGTCCCGGCTTGCATGTGGGGTTTCAGCTCAGGACTCTCGTGGCAAAGGCGTGGCTCCTGCAGGGGCGCTGCAGGCAGCAGTGAGTGGGTTTGAAAGGCTGTCGAGGCGATGGATTCCTCTCGAGACAGTTAGGGAGCAAGCAGGACATGCATGTGTGTGTGTGTCTGTCTGTCTGTCTCTCACACACTCTCCAATCAGAAATGATAACAGGGGGGCCTCTGGGTGGCTCAGCGGGTGAGCACCAGCTTGGGCCCAGGGCGTGACCCCAGGTCCCTGCATGGAGCCCGCTTCTCCCTCTGCCTGGGTCTCTGCCTCCCTCTCTGTATCTCTCAGGAATAAATAAATAAAATATTTAAGAAAAAAAAAGGAATGCTAACAGGGAGCTGGAAAGCCGCGGGCGGGATGAAATCAGAGTTTGTGGGTGCCCTCCTCGAGCCGGCTCTTCCCAGGCGTCCATGGGTGCCGTGCACGTCGCTAAGCAGTGGGTGGACCTTGGTGGCCCCGGGGCCTTGCGGGCCGCGTGGACTGAGCTGCGAGGGCTGGCGGGTGCACCGGGGGCCGGGTGCATGGGGCCGGGGCCTGCTGCTCCACAGACTCCGACATTCCAGGGCTCGGCGCCCACGGCGTTGGAGTCCAACGCAGAAGCACCTTCCCAAATCACCAGCGAAGATTTCGACCACTCGCCGCGCCTCCCTCTTCGTGAACGTGACCGAAGCCACTGGGCCACGTTGTTAGGTGGCGGCAACCATGCGCTCTCCCGCGGACAAGGCCAAAATCGTGACGGCAGCGTCTTCCGTATGGGTGCACGCGGGTGCCCGGGTACACGGCCTGCACCTGCTCCGCCGTGGGCTTCCGAACAAAACCCTGGCCGGAGGGGACTCGCCCCTGTGTTCTCCGGGCACAGCCAGGGCTGGGCTGCTCCGCGGCGCCCAGGCTTTAGTAAGGTGGGAAGCTGGCCCCACCGGGTTACAGGAAGAGTCTGTGGGATTTGGGGAGCAAAACTAATCATCCCGAAGCTTCGTGCCTCCGAAGAGCGGGGAAGCAGTCCTTGATGGAGGGAGGTAAACACGGCGCCTTTGTGTCGGTGAGGTGAGCAGAGCTTTCCTTGAGGCTGAACGTTCCTACGTGTGGACAGGAGGTGAGCCCCCTTGATGGAAGGGGTTCTTCTGCTCGCTCCATCAAGACCACCATGCCACATGTCCGCAGCCCCAACGAAAATACAGCGTCGTGAAATCATGATCAAAGTCACAGAGACCAACTATTGGCGTGGCCAGAGATTGCAGCTACTGTGTTCCCCCCTCTTGGTTCCTGGGAATTAAGCTTCCATAGCATGGAGGGATTCCAAAAAAATACCCGTAAGTTATCTATATTGTATTCCTCGACTTTTCCAACCGTGGGTTCCTGGCTAAGCAGTTCTGACTCGTTGATAAATTAGGACAGTGTGATTGTCTCATAATAAGATAATTTACCGAAAATATCTCGGCAGGGTTGTGAGCGTGTGGCTGGAATAACAAGCAAAGCCTCTGCGGAGGCATCCATGGTTTGTGATGCACGCCCTGGTGGGCACAGATGTGTGACTTTAATAGAGTAATTTGCTTTTTCTGATAACATTTGTCCAATCTCCTTTGAGGGGCTTTTGCGAGAGTCAAATGAGCAGAGTTCAGTGAAAGCAATTTAAAACAGTTGAAAGCACTAAGATGAACTAGCTGTAGCTGCCCAGCGTCCTTAAGGCATCTCAGTAGAACAAACGGGTGTAAACGTTGCGGGTGCTTTTGTGTGGTTTTGCAGGCAACAAGGGAGACTCTCGGTCGCCACTGCACCATCCTCGGCGATGCTCTGCGAAAAGAGAATGACTTTGCTCTTATAATCGATGGGAAAACCCTCAAGTACGCCTTAACTTTCGGAGTCAGACAGTATTTCCTGGACTTGGCTTTGTCATGCAAAGCTGTTATTTGCTGCAGGTAAGTTCTCCCTAATATTGTCAGGTTGCAGCGAACAGCACCTGGACCCTCCGCTCTTGATTTTTAAACTTCCTCCAAGTGATTCTATCCAGAATTTGTACATGTCAGGTTATTTGTGATTTCGCTCACTCGACACTCAAGGTTCACAGCCCAGAATAGAGTTTAGCTGCAGAGTTTTGGGGGGTTTTTTTGTTTGTTTTTAGGTGAGTCCTACTGATGATCTCTTAGTCATCCTTGTTCATAATCTCCTGTGTTCCACATCGATCATTTACCCACATTTCCATCGAGACTTAGTTCCATAATGGTTCTGTTTTCTCCACATCAATCTTTGATCCTGCTCGGAGGACTTAACTTTGGGGACTGGCACGGGCACTTAACTTTGGAGGTGCCAAGTCATTTTCCCGAAGACGAGTTCTTGACTGGAGGTTCCTCTTTCCTGTGATTTTTATAATATGGCCCATTTCCTAAATGAGAATCAGTTTTGCGTTATCAGGGCTTAAGCCACAGAACTACATTTTTATAAGCTATTTAGCTCTCATCCTTCCAGAACTTCCCGTCAAAGCGTCTTCCCCGTATCTTGGTCTAAATTGTTCACACTGTGTCGTCCTGAAATTTCAAGTATGTTCCTGACTCTGCCCGCTGTCTTCACTATGAAACCTAAGGGAGAAAAGAAAAGAAAAAAAAAGAGAAAAGAAAAAGAAAAAGAAAAGAAAAGAGAAATAAAAGAAAGAAAAGAAAAAAGAAAGAAAAGAAAAGAAAAAAGAAAAGAAAAGAAAAGAAAAGAAAGAAAAGAAAAGAAAAGAAAAGAAAAGAAAAGAAAAGAAAGAAAAGAAAAGAAAAGAAAAGAAAAGAAAAGAAAAGAAAAGAAAAGAAAAGAAAGAAAAGAAAAAAGAAACCTAAGGGTTTCCCTCTTTGCCATCGACGCACTGAGACTCTTAGACCCAGCTGGTCACCCCAGGTCTAGGGTGCAGTGTCTCCAGTTTGCTTTCTCCCCCAGGGAGATGAAATCTTAGCAAGGCTTCTGAAGAATTTCCCAGAACTTTTTCTTTTAACATGATTGTTAAGATCTTATTATTATCTTTAAAAACATATTTACTAATAAAAGAATGTTATTTTTTTTAAAACCCTCTTTGTCTAGGGTTATTCACTTGAATATCCTGTATATAATTTATAAGTCATGCCTTGTAGATATTTCCTAAGTTTGTGAAATAAGATTTAATAAGTACCTTTTATAAAGCATCATTTCGACCTATAAAATTATATCCTACTCAGAGAATTAAAAGTTGCTTATTCCAGGAACCATATTATTTTAGCCATTTATTTTTCTTCACTGTAGCATGTATTAATAAACGTTCCCGCAGCGCCCTTGGAGAGCCTAATGTACACACGTATTTAACATCAGTAATAATCAGGCTCTCTGCTGAATGATGAAGAATTAGAAATTAATTTATCTCAGAGATCTATTTGCATTTTGTAAAATTTGCTTTTCCAGGGACTTTTCTTGATTCCTTGCTGATAATCTCTTGACCACGTCTTAGTAATGTTCAACTCTGACACTCTGCCGTCAGCGTGCTTGTGTGCCAGCTCTGGTTGTTTAATCGCTTTCACTAATGGGATCACGAGAATCAACAAAAGATTGCCCAAAAGCACATCAAGTGCTAGGACTGTTGGCTCCTGGTTGAAAACCAAAGAGAATACAAAGCTGCCCAGATGCAGTGAGCGGGCTCCGAGTCCGCACCTGTGCCAGGCCTACTGTGTGCTGGGCGTGCAAGGCTGAGCGAGACTTCCTGCCTGCTCTCCTTCGCGCCCCCCTCCCCGCCTTTTAAGTAGAATCAGTTGCTTTGAAAGATGTGGGAGGCCAATTTTCATAATGCAGTCACTGCAGCTGAGCCTCATTCTTAGAGCATTGCTTAACACAGTACCTCCCACCATTCTTCAAAAAGTGGAACCACAAAATTAAACAATAGCAGAGGGAGAGAAGAAGTAAAAAGCAGAGTCGAGGGAGAAAAAATATGTTGTGCGCTTGTGAAATTCCCTCCCGAGATCCTTGTTCTGGATGCTCACGAGTCACGTGGAGCTCGGGGCCCCACCAGGCCCAGGCCCCGGGGAGGGACTCACACTCGGCCGTGCACGTGCAGAGCAGCTCGGAAACTGAGCTTATAAAGATGTGTGTGGCCCCTTCCTCCCTCAGTCCTGTTTTATGTATGTTTGAGGACCTGAAGGTCCCTATGCAGACACTGGGTTTTATTTAGAGTTTTCAGGGTTTGTTGTTTTTGGGTTTTTTTTTTTTTAATAAAATATCTTTCCTCAGCTTTTTTTCTTCTAATTGCCTTCATACTCTCTCTTCCCATAAGGACCGTGGCTCAGCTTCCGGTCTGGTGTTGAGAATTCATCTAAGCCCATAATTACATCAGTGCCCCCACTGGAGTTACGGCTGTGCACCTTCTTGGCCTGGTGCCTCTTGGCATTTCAACTACTGGCCCAGACCATTTTCTTGTCATTTAGCTTACTGACCTTGAAGTATAATTTCCATGATAATGCTTCTGTCACTTGTGAGGAATAGGTGGGCAATTCTGTATATCTTTCTTTACCATTAAATGCAAGTGTCACTCCAGGCTTCTCAGAGGATTACAATCCCCGAGCCCCAGGAAATTCTCTATTTTACTCCACTAGAACAGACACTCCAGATAAATACTGAATATTATTTCAAAATAAGGTGCTGTTCCACGACTTTGTGTCCATTCTGGCTTTATGGGTTTTCCCCTCACGCTACTTTGCAATCTTTTTTTTTTTTCTTTTGTCCTCACGTGAAGATAATTCAGAGTCTGCTCTCCGCTGCAGGCTTCTCTGTGCCACAGCTAGAGTGGCAGTGGAGGGGAAAGCCTTCTCATAATGGATAATGAGGCTCTCAATATTAGTTCCATCTTCAGGATGACATCAGCCACTTTCCTCCCTGACATTATCAGCATAAAGGGCAGAAGGCAGTTTTCAGTGTTTGTCTAACTGACACGGTTATGAAGATGAGCGTTCTTCCCTACAGAGCCTACAGCAGAATTGAAAGAAACAGTTGTTCTCAGTCCGTCGTCATTATATCTCTTACCACCACTTTCTGAAGGGACTCTTGAGAGACAGAAATAATCCCCTCGTTCCAAAACTAGTCGGGGCTTTGGAGTCCTGGTTTTGGTTTACAAAGGGGAGATTTCATGTCATACCTCAAGTAATTTTTTCTAAGTATGTAAAACACAAGAAGTAAAATGAAATCTGTCTTGATCAGCCCAGCAAGGACCGTGTTTTGATAGCTACCAGGCAGCTTTTGTTTTTACTTCCTTGCACATCTACCTGTACAGCCTGAGCGATCTCAGAGGAAATACGCATCTAATGTCACAGGAATTTCGAATAAGTTTTCCTGGTTATAAATGTAATCTCCGTGTCGTCCTTCTTCCCTTCTTTTCCCTTGCTCGGGTACAACCAAATCTTATCACCTGGTGAGATCAGATACTTTTGAAGAACAGAAAAGCTGTGGATCATTCCCCCCAATCCCCCCTACAAAAACAAAAACAAAAACACTGCACACAAATGTGTTAAATTGAATGCACCATGTTAGGGGCTTCACAGACCCCTAAAACTCCTGGACAGGTAGGTAGAAAAGGGAAAAGCTTGCTCCCGGACTTGTGGAGACTTTTGTACACAGCTAAAATCAAGAACTGTTCTACAAAGTGGCATTTTATCTGAGGATTCATGAAATTCTTGTTCTAATTTTACCTCGCTGGCACTCTGGATACCTAATGGAATTTCTCTGGCTTTGGTTTTGTGGCCTATAAAATGAAGAGCTTGGCATATAGCGGCGATTCAAATCCTTCACGGAGCCTGGATGTCTAAGCAGCTAAGAGTAGAGCTTCTCTGGCGTGGAAAGGTGGGAGACGCATGCACACACGCACCCTTCCTTGGTAATTTCCTTCCAGCTTGAAAGCTGCTGGGACAGAGGACCCCACCTAGCCGTTTCACTTCTGGACCCTACTCCTCTTGGCCACTTTCCGCTGGGAAGCGTCTGTCTACTGCTCGGATCAGCTTAATTTGGGGAAGCATCTGTTCTACCTCTTTTAATATTCCCTCCAGAAGAGGGTGGGAATGTTGCAGTGAAGTATTGCTGTGTGTTAAATAGCATGTGGTTTCTGAGATCCTCATCAGTTCACATAACCCAGCCTTTCAAAGAATTTTACATTTTTTTCTGTAGTTGTCAGTTTAGTTTAAACATATTTTGAAACTTATGTTCTGTGACAGTTGGTTGAAAATTGGCCTAGAGCCTCCAGCTTTTAGACTGTCTAGCAATCACCGTTCTCCTACATAATTTATGTACTCATGTCTTCTGAAAAGCAGAAGTTAAATTGAAGTAAGCATTTTTCCCTACTTGCAACATTTATAATCAAAGTTTAACCCCCTTTTAGGCCATTTTCCCCATAGCGCATAAAAAAACACTTGACTTCAGTGAGCGTTGTCTCTCGGGAGTGGCATTCCAGGCAAAACCTTTCACCTTAGTCTGATCAGTGGGTCCACCTAGAAGGGGAGGTCTAAGGGGACGCTTCGAATACTTGCTGTCATAGCATGAGTACGTTAAGTAGAGGGTCAAGACAGATCTACTTCTCAAATCTTTCAGGATTTGTCTTAAACTTTAAGGATTTCTCTAAATAAATGTTTTACTTGAAGGGTAGTCATAAAGCCCAAATGAAGCTAATAAATGCTCAACAGACATTCCTTTAAGGAAAAAAAATCGTGAGCACCGTTGGATGCCAAGCAGATGTTTGGCTTTGAGAAGACTTACAAACTGTTAATGAATGTCAACCCCATATTTGCGTCCAAGAAAACATGAATAAATGTTGGAAATGTTGAGAGAATATTTCTTTCATACATGTATGGCTAAAAGAGGACATCCTGAATAAATTTTATAACTTCGTAACACGGCCATATTTTGCTTTGACATAATATAATAAGCTGGTTCAGCC